TCAACTTAAGGACAGACCTTGGGAACGGAACTCATTCTTAAACTGGGGACTACCTGTATATACTTAGTAGTCAGATTCTCCAGGCTTCAGGAGATCAATACTGAGGTATTGATCAGTGTTTTTGTGAATGTTTTGCCCCACGTGCCAGGGAAGCTTCCTCAGCACCAACAGTTCAAAAGTTGGGGTTGCCTTGCAATATTGTAGTCTATGCAAGATTTGAACTCAGGGGGAGGGGTTGGGAATGGTGCTGCCTCCATTTTGATTGGTTGAACCAATCACCAAAAAATCAGCCTTTATGAGTTTTTACTTTTAAGTAAACTTTATTTTTTGTATATGTAAGCTATATGTATATATATTGGGGGGAGAGGGATATGTCTGGATAATTTACATCTATACAAATCATACCATTTATATATTTATTTATTTTCCCCATAGGGTGACAGAGGATTTGATGGCCAGAAAGGATCCAGAGGCGATCAGGGAGAAAAAGGGGACAGGGTGTGCTATTCTTTCACTTAAGAGTAATGAAAAAATCTATACCGTAAAATCTGTACACTTTTAAGACCTAGAAATAAAAGAAATATGCTTTTAAAAGCTGTACTTGAAGATAGATAGATAGATAGATAGATAGATAGATAGATAGATAGATAGATAGATAGATAGATAGATAGATAGGATCTAGATCTAGATACAGATATACATATATGAATAAATAAACTCCTTACTTTGGATGAGTTCATCCATTTAATTTGTAATCAAAGCAACAGAAATTCACCTATAAACAAAGAAAGTAATCTTTTAACTTATCTACTTCAAGTTACCTAAAATTCAGTCCCTTTGAGAACCGCTCCTCACAACAGGAGACAACAGCCCAAAACGAAATTTGTCCCATATCAGAACAGGAGACAGATGAAACTATTCTTCCTGCCCAAAACGTAGTGGCTTGAAACCTTTATTTCATTATAACTAGGACTTATATTTGATACACAGCAGTTGCTGGAATTCTTTCATAATCACTTTATTAGCTTTTTGTTTTGTTTTGCTTTACAGTGAACCTATGTATCAGTGATGTGTGTCTTTGAATGCTAGTTTGTACGTGCTGCCACTCCTAACGTTCTAGAAAGCAGCCTGATAGCCCCTTAAATTAACTCTGCTGATATCCTGTCCTCTGAAACCTTGCAGTTTAATTTTCATAACATAATTACTTTTCCAAAATCTTAAAACAGTCCAAACTCACTTAAACGTTTATTAGATATTAGAGAAACATATGCAGAAATGGTTTTACCCTTATTCAGTGTTATTGTGCAACCTCAGTTAAGAGCACTGCAAGCTATTATAAGATTTCTGCTTTTGTTGAAGATTGCCAGGGCTCCTTACTTTTTAATACAAATCTAGGTTTATATGTATAATGAGGACTATATAATAAAAACTGATACAGTAAACATAATTTATTGCATTATACAAATAAGACAGTATCTCTCAAATTTAGAAGTCGCTCTTAGATGAGTATTTATATATAGTCCCCCGACTGAAGAAAGGATTCCTGTAGATACTAAATTGAGATTATTTTTCCATGTGTATTCCTTTGTACAGAATCAGAAACATTCAAAAGGATTCACAAAGCCCAAATTATCCTGAACAGTTGCCTCGAATGTTTTTGCAAAAATATGCAATAATAAAAAGAAAAGTATTGTTTTTAATTATTTATAAACAATTGTAACGAGATTGAAGTCCTCCATTCTGCAAAAATTAATCAGATATTCAGAAATAAATTCTGTTCTACTTCTGTGCAAACTCTTACATTCCAGCCTGGTCTAGCAGAATATTGATACATGCAGAAGCAGGATAATTAAATTTCTTTGCATGTGAAATTTCTGTGTAAGAATTCTCCAAATCTCTTTCTGTAGGGTGCTCCAGGTGTTATTGGTTCCCCAGGACCTGGGGGAAGTGATGGACCCCCTGGGCCTCCTGGGCCACCTGGCAACATTGGCCCCAAAGGCCCAGAAGGAATTCAAGGGCAGAAGGTAAATATTCACCATTGCGCTATTTGACTGTTACTGTCAAAACTGTAGGTTATCCCGTGCAAAATTGCCTGATATAAGCTTTTGTGTCCTGGTACTCCTTTAATACAAATGATAAGCAAATATTGCATTTTAATCTCAACAAAAGAACAATGTAAAAGGACTGCACTTAGCCTTTTCCTCTTTCTTTTCCTCATCCCTTTCCACTCTCAGGGCAGACATAAACCAATTAACTCACAAGTCCTTGTGGCTTGCTCCTATGCCTAACCTTTAGTAGTAAGCAGATTCTTAGGCTCTTGGCTAATGATATCCTAGGCAAAGTGCAGCGCTCAACATATAGCTGCTACATGGGAGAATTTAAGTGCTCCCATCACTGCTTGAGCCATTGCGTTCTGGATCAGTTGAAGCATCCAAGTGGTCTTCAAGGGCAGCCTGCATAGAGTGAACTGCAGTCATCCAGATGGGAGGTGACTGAGACACGAGCAGCTGTATGAAGAGCCTCCCAGTTGAGGACTGGTTGTAATTGGTGCACCAGACATAACTGCAAAGCCATGTTGGCCACAGCTGTCACCTGCTCCTTGAGCAGGAGCTGTGAGTCCAGAGTGCTCTGAGGTTATGCACCAGTTCCACACAAGGACACATGACACACTAACCTAAGTTTTTTTTAAAAAGGAGAGATCCCCAACTTTGAACCCATTTTCCTTAACATATTTTCTTCTTTTCCATTTTTCCTAAGAAATAAAAAGAGGGCAGATCGCCCTCTTGAAAGCAATAAAACTTAAAATTAAACAAAACTGTTAAGGTGTTACAAAATAGCCCAGGAGAGGGCAGGAGTTGTGTTATATGGCACCATTAGTATCATGATATATCATGACTAATGTCATTAGCATTATTCAACAAGAGTGGCACACAGTGGTAGAGGTTGATAAAATGTACCTCTTCAAAATACAGTTTCAGGGAGGGAGGGAGGAAGGAAGGGCTAGCGGGGCTGCCAGCCCTATGAAATGATAGATGTGTTTGATTTCCTGTTACAGGGTGAAAGAGGCCCCCCGGGTGAATCAGTTGTAGGAGCCCCAGGAGCACCAGGCATGATTGGAGAAAGGGGAGAACAGGTTTGTAAATACATTGTGGACTATCTTTACTTACCAGAATGCTTGCCCCCTCTCCCCCACCATCTCCCTGAATTAAGGAGGGATGAGCAAACTCCAGCTTGACAGCTATTTGGATATATCTGAATATTTTTCCAAATATGTCCTGGCTATGCAATATATAATTGTAAAGTTTAACTGCTTCTGCTTCTGCTAGATTGGCCAGAAACCCTTAGGTTCACATATTCACTGATAACCATCCAGTTTGACAGAAGATGGTTGGGCATGTTATTTAAACCTATTGTTATTTACTTAATAATCCATGGCTTAGCCTTGTGTGTGACCCCAGTCTAAATTGGAATGACGTCAAGCTCATTTGCTCTTGTCATTATCCAACTTTATTTATAGAGCCTTATATGTTTTTTAAATAAATGAAAACTCATAGCTCAGATATTCCTCCAAATGAGCATATTTTTCAGCTCCAAATGCTCTTGACTTAGTAACTTCTTTTTTTGTTTGTTGGCAGGGAAGTCCAGGGCTTAATGGCCAAAGAGGAGAAAAAGGAGTACCTGGCATGACGGTGAGGAAAAAGACCTTTCCACTACACTGGCCTGAGAATATTTGTTTATTGTTTGTGCCAGTTTTCTACCATGAATGACTCTGAAGGCCAGTAACATTCTGAATCAGAATCCTGAGACAGGGTTGGGATTTGTGTATTCCTAAATTCATTTTAGATAGCTGCAGCAGCAGTTTGTTTTTCCTTTACCAAAAATTACATTCAATTAAGCAGTCTATTTGATTGCTTACATTCCAGACTTTTCGAAGTCTGTCTTTTGTCTTTCTGCTTTGACCTGGATGCTGCCTTGGAATGTTTTGATGAAGGAAATGAAAGGGATTATTCTCCACATTTATGGGAGGCCTAGACAGGGCCTCTTTGGGAGTGGCCCCTGCCCTTTGGAATACCCTTCTCCCTGAGATCTGGCAGGCCCCTACCCTCCTCTCCTTCTAGAAAGCCTTGAAGAGCTGGTTCTTCCCACAAGCTTTGTGGTACAGTGTAGCTGGAGCTCAGTAAAGTTGTTGATTGATGTGGTGGGGGTGTTGTTTTGGGGGGCACTGTGAGTTTTTGTGATAGTTGTATGTTTTTTGCAGTTTTATTGCTGTTTGTAAGCTGCCCGGGGTTATGCATAATAAGGGCAGCTACAGTATATAAGTATAATAAGTAAATAAATAGTCATAAAATAAAATAAATAATATTAGACTATATAAATCTAATAAATAAAATATTATCACTTTATAATTAACTGCTGAGAGTCAGTTTGGATTGCAATGGAGTATCTGTGCACTCAATAAATAAATGAATGAATGTAAAGCAGTTTAGCTCAGTATTATTTGCATTGTGTTTTTTGCAGGAAGAAGAGGTCCGACAGTTTGTCAGGCAAGAGATGAGTCAACATTGTGGTAAGGCCTCACCTACAGCTAACAGGACCCTTCAGCCCTGCCATTTTCCCTCTAAGCTCTTCTTATCTATATTCCCATTTCCTTGTAAACAATTTTGTTCAGATAAGCTGCCCTGGCTGACACTGAAGCATAGCTATGCCATATGTTTTTCAGACTCTCTGTTTAGGAGTGTGTCATTTGAGTCAAATCACCCATTTGATTAGAAATCTGGGATTAGGGTCTCTTCCATTTTTTTAAAAAAAATAGATGTGTGCTTATTGGAGAAGTTGTAGACATGTTTGCAGCAGTGGGGAGGATTTGCGGTGTTGTACTGTTTCCTCCGGGGCTATTTAAAATGTACCCCTGCCCCATATTCAGTTGCTTTTGAAGAAAAAAAATCTAGATACTTCTGGATTGTTTTCTATAGAGGATATACCAGAGCTAGAGAAAGTTTCTGTAGGGAAAGTAGTTTGGAAGGAAAGTGAAATACTTGCCTCAAACTTGTTGGTCAAGCAAGAGGTTTTTCTCAGGAGGAAGAATGTTTGTAAAGAGAAATCCTAAAGTGTAACTTGTAAAAAAAAGTACTGTTGAGGCTGGTACTTAATGTGAAAGAAAATAAGGATAAACTTTATTTAGGAACTAACTTAGTGATGGGAAAGCCTAAGTTACCAGCTAAGTGCTTTTTGTGTGCCCCCTCTGTTATGGAGAAAGAGCAAATTAGTGAGAACCTGAACTGAACAGATCAAAGTCAAAAGAAACCATGAAGTGAATTGAGAAAGTATCAACAGCCCTGATAGCATCAGTCTAACCTAGTGTTTCTTAACCTCAACGACTTGAAGACATGTGGACTTCAACTCCCAGAATTCCCCAGCTGGCATGCCAGATGGGGAATTCTGGAAGTTGAAGTCCACACATCTTAAACTTGCTGACATTGAGAAACACTGATCTAACCAATAGGATGCAAGTTATGTAGAGACCTGAAAGGAGATAAAAGGACATCTGTTGTTCCTACAGTTCAATAGGTTTATAGAAAGTTGGGGCATTCAAATTGCGAAAAAACTCCTGCTTCCCCTTGAAACTCCTCTGAAAAAAATAATGACCCTTATCCCCTACCTAAGGCTGTATTTCTGTTTAAAAACTGGTGGACAGTCTAATCACAGAATGAGTGTCCTGGTGAATGGACTGTCTCTCTGTTTCTCATTTCAGCTTGTGGAGGCCAGTTCTCTCTTCCTGAACGCCGTAAGTATTTTCAATTATTATGAACTGTCTCCCTCTCTGCAGTGCTTGTAATCTGAGCCAATAATAAAGAGGCATCCAGCATATCACCGATAAATGCTCCCAGATATGCACAACTTTTGAGGAATGCAGAGTCAACAGAATGAGATGAGGAAGTAAAAGATCCCTGGATGACTGGCCTCATTCCTGTGTAATAGCTGTGCTGTTGAGTCCTGGCAACCTAGCCTTGCTGATTTCTTTCTTTCACTTGAACAAATAATATTTGTCTAGCAAAATGTTCCATCCTGTCTTGAATATTCAGTGTTTGTTTGTTTGTTTGGGATAAGTTTGTTTTAAAAATCTCATTCAGCTTGGCCACAAGTAGCTAGGCAAACTGATTTTAGAAACAGGAAGTAGAAACTGAGTTATAAGTTTTCAAGGTTAAAATAAATGTTTGAGAGACCCTGCTCTCCACCACACATGTGAAAAGTGAGAAGAGAACTATGATTATTGTGAGGAGTGAAATAGAAGATTAGGAATGCTGTTTTATCCTACGCTCCAACCTACCATGGCATTCATGCACGTATAGGGCAATTAGGCAGGGAGTAGGAATAAAGGGGAAGTTGCAGGTGAAAGAAAGTTAAGTAGCCATCCCACCCTTGCTACTTTTTTGCTTCAGGTCTCAGATATTCCTGCTAGGTCTGCTTTTTCAGTGCTTCACAAAGATTCATATTTCCAATTTCAAGTCTTCTACTTTGGACTTAGTTTGGTGACAGAAGAGCTGGAATTCCTAATTTTCTAGGTTGAAAAACAACACTCCATCTGTTGAAACACAGTAATTAGCAGACTAGAAAAATTGGCAGCCAATCTCTGGATAAACATTTTTCTCAAAAAAAAGAAAAAGAAAAAAAAAAGGTGCATGAGAGATGCATGCAAGAAGCAGAAGAAAAAAAACTCTGTAGGCAGAGTCTCCTAACAGGTGGTTTAGAAGACAGAGGAAGCCCATCTACAGAAAATACTCCAAGAGATGCCATAGCAATTAGTGTGCCATGTAAAAAATGTTTCTAGGAGAGAAAACTAGACAGCAGGATGAATCAACTGGTTCACTATATTCAGGGACTTATTATCAGAATTGAATTATTTAAAGTATAGGAAGATTACACAGTTTACAAACATTTTAGCTTCCATGATTATCTTTGTGCATGAAATCAGCATTTTTTCAATCAGCTAATGACAAAAGCTGCATACCTTGGAGAATAAGTATGTTGTGCTTATTTGTTTCACTAGGTTAAAACAATCCATTGATGCTAAACTAGTAGCCTGCATTGTGTATTGTTATGCAGTGTTTCAAGCCACCCAAATTTGCCAGCATCCAAGATTTTTCCATTCAAACAAAGTTGGTTTAAAATTCATCCATAATGTCTGTTCTGATTTCCAAGAGAGCTTTTGCATGAAAAAGATTAATTAATTACTTATTACATAAATGTTATTTGAGAACTGTCTCTACCCTACTTCCATAATTTATTACTCACTAACTTGTATAGAAAAGGGTCAAAGGAGATATATTTTCTGAAGATTCTTGAACTCTGGCTAGAGGCTTCTCCTCTGAACCGTGTGCCAATTATTTTTATGCCAGCCGTGTGCTTGTTGAGGTTTGCACTGTGACTTCTTCTTCCCAGGTAACCTCCCCAACTATCCATCCACCCAACCACTCCCATCCGGTAACGCTCAAATAATCCCCGTGCTTAGGTTGTCCCATGCTGAGGAAGAGGAAGGTGAGTCTTTTTCCTTTGTAATTTTGTCTCCTTTTTTTTTCTTGCACTCATTGCAGGATTTCTGATGTTAGTATGCATAAAATGTTTGCTGTCACACTCTCCTTTCAAGAATTAAGTGGTTTCACCTTTTTTTCATTCCATTTTGTAATTCCAAAGCAGAGTATAATTTGCAAGCCAGGCATTATCGGAGTGACAATCCACCCTTCTGTTGGAAGCAAGAGGCAGGACATGATCAGCTTTGTTCTATTTGGAACTTGTCAGGTGCATGTAGCCCCAGATCTTAATATAGGCTTCAAACCCTCTACTGGAAATTGCACCCCATAATAACAGCTTGAATTCCATTGTAAGATCAGAGGCTATGTATATCTGACAAGTTCCAAATAGAATGCAACCGGTTGTGTTCTACCTTTTGCTTTCAGTGGAAGGAAGACTGGCACTTGGTGGTCAATACAAGTAAAAACACCACACAGGATGTATCCTGTGTAAAAAGAGAGGGCGGGGGAAGGAAGACCCATAAAATCTTGTAAAATGAGAGCATGACATAATATAATAGCTTAGGAAAAGGAAGGTGGATTCATATACCATTCCAAAGATAGACCCCAGGAGAAGTAAGAATAAGAAGTAGTGATGGAATGTTGCTCACTTCATTTCTTTATTAATGACCAATATGACAGATAAAATAGAACAAATAATATGTAAAATACAACAGTATAAAATCAAGAAGAAATATAAAAATGCAGAAAAAAGTAGCCATCAAGCCAATTGACATTCATAATTTATAGTGCCCTACAATAATCTGGGGATGCCCTTGAAAACCACTCAGAAGCTGCAGCTGGTCCAGAATGGGCAATATTGAACATATCTTCTCATGCCTGTCTAGCACCTTTGCTCTGTGAACTGCAGTAGTTACCAGTAGGCTTCCAGGTACAATTCAAAGTACTGGCTATCGCCTACAAAGTGCCAGGTTATCTAAAGGACCATCTGCCTTTCGTAGTTTTTGCCTGGCCTATATGATCAAGCAGAGTTAGCATGCTTCAGTCTCTTCCATTAAGGAATGTCATCTGATGGGACCCAGGAAGCATGTCTTCTCTGTTTTCCCTCTGGAAAATCATTCCTGCTGAGATTTGTTTGGCCTCCACTGTGGTCATGTTTAAAAGAGCCTTGAAAACCTGGCTCTTTCCCCAGGCTTTGGGTTAGAGTAGTTGATGGTTCCTGTGTATTTTATTGTTTTAGAATGGCTGTTTTTCTTCTGCACACTTGGAGTTTTTGATTGTATTTTAGGAACAATGTTATTGTATACTGCCCAGAGTCATAATAGAGTAAGGCAGCCTTATCAATGTAATAAAATTGCCAAAAATATATAT